AATCACCACCATCGGTTGTGTAGAGATTAAGACGTATAGTTCACCAGCATTAAAAGTTCTTTGAACTGATTTTCTTAATTTCTTCGTAATTATTTCACTTGGTATATCGCCCTTCAATTGCAGTCGTATCTAAAAAGGCTTCTTGTTTACAGATAGTTAGTAGTCCTTTTCAGCTTTCTTTGTCATGTATTTCTTGATAAGTTTGTCGGGATAGCTGTTTTCGATCAAAGTACCATATAGAATGCTTAATTCATCTTCAATTACTTCTTCTGAGCATAAGCTCTAACTCTGTGGCTGAGGGTCTTTACCAAATTTCCTTTGTACTTGAGAGGAACGAAGCTGTGAAAATGTACATATTGTACCTTTTCTATGCAAATTTCTTTTTATGCTACCATCTGGCTTTCTTGTAAAGAGGACATCTAGGAGGGCAATTCTGTTTTGGGATTCCTCTTCGCACATGAATTTCATAGCAGAATGTACTTCATTGAATTCAGTTATTATTGTGTTCCTATCCGAATCATTATCACAAAGAATAAAGGTGTCATCCATATACCGGCAATAAAATGAGAACCCTCTGATAAAGTTGTTCAAAGGTCCATTTTCTAGTTTACTTAGATTCGATGTTAATTAAACGACATTGAGGTCAATTCATTCACTATTACGTATGTACAACTATAGAACATGATGAAGAAGGGGTTATTGAAAGAATATTCTATGTTCAGCAACTGTTCCTTCGAAAATCTTGTTGGGCAATTTCAATCAGTTAAGGATAAGGTAAACTAATACGTTAAATGTGTAGGCCTTCATAGCCGGACGCAATTAAGGGCATATAACTGGTGTAATGTGTCTAGCTAGTCCTTTGTTTGATGCAGATTGAATCTTACCAATCAAGTTTGCAATGTAGCCCTCAAGCCAATAGGTATCTCGACACCCGAGGGTGCACTTTGAATTGTTGGAGACAATCAGCAGGAAACCTTGGAAGCAGATTTTGTGCTGGTTGGCACTTACTAGTCAGCAAGGCATATATGCAACCTTGTAGGAACCTACGAGAGTCAAACCCGCGTCACCCAGTGAGTACTGCAGTCAGAAACATTCCCGCTGATGCTTCTCAGCACAAACCCTTCTGAGTATCGATTTTCAGCCAGGGGCTATTAAGAAGTGAGACATGCAGATTCTTCTAATGTCAACTCCAGCTGACGTCTTGATAAATATTTTACATTATTTGAAAAATACACAAACACCCCTTCACAATGAAGTAACTCAGTGGATTAATGTGGAACTCTGCCACACTTGCTGGAATAAATACTAAATTTATCTTCCTGGAAGACTACACCAGGCATCATGATTATCGGAAATGGTTTTGTAAAAGCTTCAGCAACATACTGGAAGCCTTATTGACTCAATTCATCATTCGTGAACAATTGAGCTACGGTAAAGTATATCTTAGTGATCAGCTCTACGCAGCTGTTCCACGTACTTAAGAATACAGGATCAGTAAATCACCGACTTTATAATCTACGGAAAGTGTACAAGGTTGGTCAACCTCTTCGATGAATTTCGAATGTGCGATGGTCAGCCTACCATCTAATCGTACAAACGCTTTCCGAAATTCTAGAGCTCATAATGAAACAGCTATGCATGTACTCTGCCACGTGATACTTGCCAATTCACTTATTGTAAAAAGAATATGAATGTGACTGCCTTCAAACGAGGTCTAGCTCTGCAAAAATGCCACTCACAAAAACAATATTTATCCTGTGCAAATGTTTATTTTCCATCTTCCTCGCATTTCGAAGGGGAGGAACATAGGCGGATTCAAGTTCTAAAATTTCAGCAGTGGTGGTGTTGTTGATCCAGCCCGAGAAGAGACGCTGACTTCCCACCCAACCTTCGCTTTTTCTCGGATTACTGCCAGCAAGGCAATGTTAAGGAACACATCTGTCGGTTGAGAATCAAACCCAAACCACTTGATTGGTTGACGAATATTCTGCCGTCCATCCACCACAAAGCGTGCGAATATATCGAACCAACCGCATATCTAAAAGAAGCGCTGTTTAGACGCACAATTGACCTTCAGCAATGTGATTTATGGACCATAAATGTATAAGCTACGTAGATTCTCTTCACCAGGATCACCGATATCACGTGATTAGCTAAAATAAAACCAATCTGTCGAAGTGGTCCAAACAGAATATAAAGCCATCGATTATTGGTATGAATCATGTAAGGCGGGGGGCTCCACAGGATGCTAAAAACCAATCATTGCCGAACTTAGCTAGCATGGCTTAAAATCATCGTCTTCGGCGAAATATTCACCTCTTATCCAAACTTCAAAAGTATTCCCTAGTATTCATCGAATAATTCTGTCTCTCCGGAAGTTTTATCCGCTTTATCTTTATTGTTTCACAAACTGATGATATCAGTCAGGAACCACTGACAACCACAGAGTACTGGACATCTACACCGTCTCTAGTTTGAGATGCTCCAGCTCTATCCACTGAAATCCTCCACACACACACACACACACAATAAGAATCATGCCTGAGAACTTCAGGTCACGAGGCGAACCCATTCATCATTCAACCCCACTGAGAAGGAATCTAATGATCAGCCTATGGAGTGCTAACTTCTGCCACCATTCGAGAGATCGTCAAAGAAGGAGGTTGAAACAGAGCTGTCAAATACTTTTGCGTTGATTTCCAATGATTCTCTGACTGACATCAGTTAGTTCATGATACAACTGGAAAATCTGTTACAAAATACTGATACATTCAAGTTTATTTTATCCACTGGTAAGCAATGTAATGCGACTGTAAATACATTTTATCTCGATTTTACATATCCCTGTGTGTAGAGTATCCAGTTGAAGAGTTAGTTCTAGTGAAATTTGATGAAATCACTAAATCCAGCTTTATTAATATTTTTATTGCTTGTCGTTTTCAATTCGTATCGGAAAAAAAATACTTTCACTATATAACTGGGAACCAGTAAAATATCGCATCACACTAACAAGAGATTTGACGAAAACAGTCGAATAACACTTATTCGACTGTTGGTTTATAGGGATTCGAAAGAAATATTCCCATATTGAATCATAAGAATACGGGCGTAGTTTTTACTTGCTCGTGTGGAGTAAAGTATATCGGCCATACGCAACGTCAAGTCCACGAACGTATTCTGGAACACTGGACAGCTTGGTTAGCCAGCCAGAGGAGAAAAGAAGAATAGCAACCGATCTGTGCTCGAACACGTGTGTCATCTCCGGATATCGAGCAACCCCGCATAAATGCTTCACAGAGCTATATAGAGTCTCTCAATTTCGCATACATCATCTGTACATAGCTGAAACATTAGCTATTCGTAATTTGAAACCAGACCTCTGCATTCAAAAGTGATACATACATTCACTCACCCCTGCCATGGCCAGAGTAAAGTTCTTACTATAATTTTGCTTCTTTTTTATTATGTAAGTTTACTATTATTATTTTATTACCATTATTATACCATCATCCATATTTTATTATCACTCTATCACTGTTTATTAATAACATTGCTTTTTCATACAGATTTTATCGCCTTTCCACTGGTTCCTGTCCATTCTACACAAGCTTATTGATTAGTCATTATCTCACTTTTATTACGTTATGCCAACCTCTATCTCTTTTCTAACTTACAATTAGTCATCCCATCTAGGTTACTTTTTATTTATTTTTTTATTTTGATTATAAGCTGTATTTTTGGTACAAGTATAAAATTTTCAGCACGTGATATCGGTAGCCCAAATTTTGCAGGCCAACCATAGATATCAGGTGTGTATCGGCAGGGTATCGAACCCCGGACCATGTGCATGGTCGGCGAGAGTCCTAGCCGCGCTGTGCCACCGACGCACCTTACATTAAGCAATACATTTTCCGAGGACAAAGTTTATCAGTATCTGTTTCGGTCTAATGATTTCTTTGTTAAGTATAATTTCGGCTGTACAGCAGCTCATGAAAGTGAATCGTCAAAAAGAAAAATATTTTCTTCGCTGTTTACGCCTTTCTCTATAATAGGGATTTGATTCGATTAGTGGTTACAGGGATTTCATCATGTGATGAGTTGACATCGATCGATTAGGGAACTATTATTGGAAAACCAGCACTGGACATCTAGCTGTTTCATCAGCCTTAATTTCAGACTCTTCATCATCACAGTGAGAGGCACCCATCAGATTTCCATCCAAGACCATACCCCAGTTACAAGGCGAGCTGTGTGGACCACTAAACCAATGGGATCCGAATCCAATGGCCCATGAAATAACAACTTAAACAAAAACAAGTTTTACATATGTTTGTATGTGTGGGTGTGTTTAAAATCTACAACTGAACAATGCATAATCGAAAAACATTACATGCCTCATTGAATAAAAAGGAAAAAAGAAAGAAGAGGAGAGGTCATTTACAGTCAACACTAACGAGTGTAGGACTTTCACAAACTAACAGACACAGAGACACACACGCGCGCGCGTTCCCATAGTTACAGGCTAATTAAGACCGTAATGCGGCGTATTAATTGATTGATTGATAATTCTTTTCGTTGGCGCTAAAAATACACACAACTAGAGAACAATATGTGCTCATGATCACATTAAAACTAGTTTTTGCACACATGCACACACACAAGTAGTGTTAGTCTTGATTATGTGTACTAAAACAAAGTGAAAACTGTAGATTTCTAACTTTCTTTTTGAAGGCACATAAAATCCGATGGGGAAATTTGAAAGCGTATATAAATATACATCATAATATTGTCGGCTGTGAAATTTCTCACGCTTTCAGAGCTTCTTGTGATATATATATGTATAGTTGTAAAAGAAAGAGGATTTCAGAATATATGTAGGGAAGGAGGAAGTGAGAGAGAGAGAAAGAAAGGGGGAGAGCGAGAGGTCAAGCAAAACAGGTCAGGAAAAATAAGACAAAGAGAAAATAAATAAATAAAACAAATAAAGGTTGATAACAAGTTGTAAAAGACTTTTTCATAAATTAAAGGAGGGTGGAATTATTAAGTGCAAACTACACTTCTTTTTTGGTGGGTAGCACTACGCACACGCATGCACGCACACACACACACACACACACATACACACGTACAAAAACACATGAGGGTATTTCGATTCGAAGAATTTATTGGCATTTGTCTTCATCAGAGGTCTTCATCGATTTCTGTACTTCAGGATTTAAAGTTACTGAAACGAGAAAAATGTGAGAAAGAAAGAAAGAAAGATGTTAGGAACAGTAAGGTTGAACTCTTCTACTATTTGGCTTCTTACCCCGACTCTGCCCCCTATGTCTTCGTCTTGAAATGCTCCCCATGTAACTACGTGTTCATAGTCTCTGCCATTTAAGTCACATTCACTCCCTTCACAAAAATGAAACACAATGTGAAAACGAACGTCTATCACTTACAAATGGACTGGTTCAAAAAATATGTTGATCTAGTTAGAGGAGACTGCGGGAAAATAGAGCTATGAATGAACTTTGTTTTCCTCCTACTTGACCACATAGGATGACGTTCAGAAATCCAAAGATACGCATGCCTAATTTTACGACCTATGTAAGTGGCTCCACAGAAGCAGTCGAATTGGTAAATACACACAGAAGAAACGGAATTAAGGAGTTTATCTTTAACTCCTAAACGCAAAATATGGATGGTTTTGGAGGTACAGCAAAATTCAAGTTTTGGTAACATTGGATATCAATCATCCACGCGCGAAATCCAGATCTTCTACAGTCTTATTGTTGGCCTGGCATATTCCTGTCTTCTCACTCCCCACAGTCAGTTGCATGATTGAGTTCATTCCACAGTCAGGATGCTTATCGATGGTAGTAGATTTAGATGACAGCTAACCATAATTATCATCATCATCAACAAACAAGTGACTTCCCGTCTGTACCTTATCCGTTATTTTTTTATAAGAGAATATTTATTATTATTATCATATTAATTATTCCCATGGGTTCCAAGTGGAAAATACGGATTCAGCAATACATTTCCACTTTGATCCATTTTCTGCTGTCCTCTTCAGACGCCTAGCCCCACGAATGCTCATAATCTCTCATCTTCTCCTCCAAATCACATGATCTCCTCCAGTTACCCTCGCAACAACAACCCACTCGTCGCTTCCCATTGAGATTCCAAGCGAGGCATTGCCTGGCGCGCGATGTCGTTCGACGGCCTCCTCAACGTATGCCCGATCAATACATCTCCATTTTCTCCTACATATTTGTTGACCAATAGGCTCTCGCCCGTTGGTTTGTCACCAGCCAGAGTTTCTTGTTGTTAATTCTCTCTGGCCCGCCGGCCAGCCAGCCAGCCATTTGATACTCAGTACGGAGCCAGCCGGCCAAGTTTCTGACCCGTATAGAAGACCTGACTGACTGACTTCGCATTTGTATTGAAAATCCGAATCTTGTTCTTTATGCTTAGTTAACTCAGATTTTCAAACTAGTTTCAGGTTGATGAAGTCGTATCTTGCTTTTCTGATTCTGGCTGGCTGGCTGGCTTTGACATCTTCACTCGCTTTAACCGTCTGTAATTGAAAAACAATGCTTCCTAGATTAGTGAAGCCAGGAAGTGACCTCTTTCAAACTTCTCCCGTTGATAGTGATTAGTGCTTGTTGTTGTTGTTGGTTGGTTGGTTGGTTGGTTATATTCGTCACCTCCGTCATCTCTGTGTTCACCTGGAATCCTGTCTTCAATGTTTGCTTCTTCTTCTGTCAGTTTGTTGGCTTTCGCCTGCAAGTCGTCAGGTTTGTGTCACATTAAACATAAATCATCCACGTGTGAAATCCAGATCTTCTACAGTTCTTGTATATAAAAGCATACCACATAGGAAAGTGAATCCACATACACACCTATACTATCAAACAGTCACATTTATTATTTTTATTAATATATATTCATCAAAAGAACCCAATAAATTAACAAATCAATCAAATCTATTGATACATTCTTTTTTTCATTATCGTCTACACTGGGCTTTTTATTCCATATTCCTTCTCAGTTCTCAGTAAGAACATAGGCCTTCAAGTTTGAGCTTTGAGGTTTTAATAGCAGTGATATTCTTTCTTTTTAATCGGAAGTAAGGGCTGCAGGTAGGGGTGAGGGTGAAGTAGTGTTGCTAACCCCATATAGTCAACTACTCCTCATTTTAACGAGTCTACCATTGGATCACAGTAAGGTTGGCAGACTGAGAATCGAACCCTGGACCACTACTGATGAAGCACTAATGCATTATGGTGATTCAACGATAAGACGTTCAGATAAAGCGATAAGAAGACGTAATTTGTCTGAATCGTGTTGGTAATGTATTTGCGTGCAACACACATTTCGAACAATCGGATCCATTACACACGGACTTGTCATAGGAATGCATATGGAATTCATAAAGAATTAGGAAGTCAGAAAATAGACTCAGGTCAAGTTAAAAGAACATATTAAATGTAAAAATAACAATGACGACCACTAAACCAAATAACAGAGGTAATAGTACATCTACCCTGGCTAGTATCAAAATAAAGTTTACCAAGGAAGGTGGTTTAATGTGATGACAGATTGTTGCTTCGAACACATAAAGATGGTTTAAGCTTTCTAATTGGCAGCTAGGGCTTCCACAAACTTTAGGATACGCCCTCCCCCAAACACGTTTTATAGATAGGTTTAAAAGATGTGTTAACGTCAATTTTATGTCCTGTCTCTATAATATGTTTCGCAATAGAGGAGCTAGGTCGTCTGTTTTCACTGTCAGTGGGTTCTGGGGATTCCATTTATTTCCGGAGCCATATAGGAATATGCTCTGAAGCCAGCCTTTACTTGCAGAGATTGATGAGTCCGCCCTATGTAAGTATGTGTGGTCACACATATATTCAAATTGGTAAATACAGTGGGATGTGACATCATTTTTCTCATGTTCAAGGGGCTTCGATGGATGGATATATTGGCTTCACATTCTCAATTGTTATAATATTAGCTGCATAAAAAGTCTTTTTGACAGCAGCGTTCAGTCTTTGTCTAGTTATCAAGCTGATATGATGTCCCACATAGGGTAGCTTAATGTACACGTCTTTCTTAGGGGCGAGTTGGAGAGTGGATCTTGGTGTTCTGACTACTTTATATCTCTTAATCAACTTGTCTGGATAACTGTTATCAACCAGAGTTTGTGTTAACTTTCTTTCTTCTTCATCAAGTGTGTCTTCAGTGCATATTCGTTGGATTCTACTGAAGAGGCACCTTACTAAGGCTCTTTTGTACCGAACAGGGCAGAAACTGTGGTAATTAAGATACTGTCCTGTCCAGATGTGCTTCCTATAAATAGATCTTTTTATTGACCCATCAAGCCGTCGACTAAGCAATATGTCTAGGAAAGATAAAAGATTATCTTCCTCTTCTACAGATGTAAGTGATATCCTATTGTGAACTTCATTCATTCGATTTAAAATTGAGGTGGCAGAACAAGACTTATCACTGATGATTACAATATCATCTACATACCTTCTATAAAGTGACACATAAGATGTTCACCAACCGTGTAGGGGGGGGGGGAAGACGGAAGATTGGAGCGGTCAAGTTAGCAGCATTATTATTCACTATCACTGAAACTTCATAGCATGAAGCGCTTCATGTCCCAGTAAGAAAAAACACAAATGACATAGAAAAGAAAAACAAGTAGGAAATATGGATATAGTATACTCACTTACTCACTCACTCACCTTTTCAGTATTACTACTATTATTATCAGTATTAGTAGGAGGAGCAGGAGGAGTAGCAGCAGCAGTAGCAGTTTCAGTATTAACAGGATTCAATTTCAACTTATGCATATTTCCTGTACAATGAGCAATAGTATCTGATGAACTATTAAATTCATGTGTTGTTCTTGTTGTCGAATTTGTAATTGTCGTTGTAGTAAATGTACGAATTGAATTATCATTTGATGATTTATAAGCTTGATCATGATCATCACTTTCATCAGCATCATCAGAAGAAGAAGAAGGATCAACTAAATTCGATCCGGTGGTGGGGGTAATTGTATCATTATACTCTATGGATTGTTGACTATCTCTATCTCTAGTATTCTCATCATTCTTTATTTCTTGATGTTCACTTTCACCATTTTCATGATGTAAAGAAACAGAAGGTGTTGAATTCTCCTTGAATGAATCATTTGATAAGTCATGTTGTTGTGGTTGTGATTGTGGTTGGTGGGATTGTTCCTTCGGTGGTGGTTGTTGTTTTTGCTGTTGGTGTTGCTGTTGTTGTCTTAGTTCATTCAATTCATTTTGTAATACTCTACATAAATTACTAATTTTTTCAATTTTTTTATTAGCACTATTCAATTCATTCACTTTTTCTTTATGTTGTTCAGCTAATTCTAGTAAACTACGTTGACTAACTTCCCATTTACCTCGCCATTCAACAGCATCACTTTCTCCGCGTTGAATACGTTTACCAAGCTAAATGATGTTTATGCGTATATATGTATGTGTGCATGTATGTGCGTATTTAGGGAAAAATAAAAAATAAAAACAAAGATTATAATAACATTTAGTGCTCAGTGTTACAGACAAACAAATAAACAAACAAACAAATATCCGGCTGACGAGTCCCGAATAGGACGAAATACACATCCTTCATTCTACTGTTAGTCACCATCCAACAATTATTATTATATTATTATTGTTCCCTTAGGTTCCTAGTGGAACATAGGGCTCCAACTACACATCTCCACTTGATTCTCTCTTTTGCTGTACTTTTCACCTGCATCCATGTTAGTCCATACTGTTTCAACTCCTCTTCACACGATCTCCTCCATGTCACCCTTGGACGTACCACTCGCCGCTTCCCTTTCGGGTTCCACTCGAGCATTGGCCTGACGCGCGATTTCACCCAACGGCCTCCTCAGCGAGTGTCCAATCCATCTCCACTTTCTCCTGCATATTTGTTGGGTGATTGGTTCTTGTTTTGTTTCTTCCCATAGTTTCTTGTTGGTGATTCTTTCCGGCCATCTGATCTTCAGTATAGAACGAAGACAGTTGTTGTTAATAAAGGTCTGCAACAGGCTGTTGGAAATATTATTTGTGACCCGCTAAGTTTCTGATCCGTACTACAGATGAATCCCAGACTAAGTGGACGATACGACCAGCTGTCCAGTACTCCCAGCTAGTTTCCAATGGCTCTTTTAGCTTCATATCAATGCGTGATCAAAGTTGTAATAAAGAATAGATCACATAACACAAGAATTCAATTTCCAAGTCAATAAAAACGACCAATGAAGATGTAAACCGACAAGTAATCATTACAATGGTTGTCATGTGATACAATTTTATCATGATTCATTGAAAAGTCAAAATGACTTCACTTCATAACACAGTTTGCGCTGAAAATGCTGTCTAGGAGAATAATGAAAGCTTTGTAATCACATGAACCAACTCAAAGAACACAACCAAATCAATATATATATGCCGGAGTAATATAGGTCATTCTTCTCTTATACTCACCTTTTCCATTTCCTCTTTAGCAGAGTCAAACAGTTTTCGACTCTCTGACATTGCCTTATTAAATGATTGGTATTTCTCTTTATAAAATACAATCTATGAATTGAGAAAGAAAAACGAAAAAAGATTTTGTGAGTACTAGTCATGAGAAAGTGTGTAAATCAAAACAGTTCCAACTATCGATAATAAAAACATGGATGAGAACTGTGTTCCAGTAATTCCCGGTACTTTCAATAGTTCCCAAACTGATATCACTTCATATGATCTCGCTGTAAACCAATGAGAACCCACTGTAAACCATCACTTAAAAATCAGTCTTTCATGCTCAGCACGGATACAGAGGGCTAGTTTCGCATATGCCAGTTTACGCCGTCTCTGGCGTAGACGTGATATCAGACTATCGACCAAACGGCGTGTGTACTGCTCAGCAGTCCGCTCCGTCCTCCTTTATGGCTCTGAGACCTGGTCATCGAGAGTGGAAGACATGAAAAGATTAGCTATCTTAGATCATAGATGCCTGCGTTCTATCTCCCGCGTCAAGTGGTATAATAAGGTGAGCAATATTGAGGTGAGGCACCGGTCGAGTGCTAGGTAAGGAGGGGAAATCAGTCGACGAGACTGTGAAATTACATCGACTGAGATGGTTAGGACATGTGCTACGTATGCCTAGTCATCGCCTTCCTCGACAATGGGCAATGTTAGCTGACTGACAGGATCAGGTTGGAAAAAGGAAGGCTAGTGGTGGTCAAACCAATGAAATCCACAACAGTCAGTCTAAGCCACGTAGGAAGGTGTAGACTTCCTGGTTGATTGGGGTCCTCGGGACGGTAAACACCAATGGTTGGAAACTATTGGTGACATGGCTCAAAATCGTTCTCAATGGCTGGTGAAGATGCATCCACTCCCTGTGACTTATGATTTCCAATTAAACTGTTTTGTTCTTCGTTATTACTATTCCTTTGTCTCACACCTCTGTTTACTGTCTATATTATGCATTTCTCCTACTTTCTTCTCTTCCTTTGTGTGCTACATGGAGGGAGTGTGGCGATTTGAACTGCCGCACATATGTGCAAAGTTCTATGTCGAAAACAGACAGACAGACCAGCAACAAACTGTGTAGGATAGAAGTTGTGTGTCTAGATGGCTAGGCTAGTGAGAAGTTGTGACCAGTGAGAACCGCCAAATCAGGTGTCAGAATATATTAATATTATTAATGAAACAGAAACAAATGGTACATTGTGGGCATCAAGAAATCTACCACACAATATCTCATAGTATGTGTGAAGGACACTGGGACACTTACTGCCCGGAGAGACAAAAGCCGAAGCAGGTGGTTGTTGCAATCACAATGGATGGTGGTCGCTTTGCATATCATGAGTTAGCAGAGGTTAGAATTTATGTGCTGATTATTGGATTCCATATCAGTGAATCAATGGTCAAAAGTCTCATCACTTGATAACTTGATTTACGATCCCTGGTGGCGGTATGAGTGCATACATCTGAAGAGTCCCAATCTAGGACGATAAAGCTGTCAAGTATTTTCCCAGATTTTCAATGGTTCTCTAATTTCATAGCAGTTAAATCCTTGTAAATCAACACATGATAGGAATATCTTTCATGGAAACCGACTTTTAAATCATGATGCATGCATGAATATTCCACACCAAGAGGGGAAATATCATCCGCATACCCCAAGTCAAGAAGACTTGTTACAAGGTTAGTTAGTTAGATATGAGCATATATCTATTGGTAATGTTAAACAAAAATGGGGAGACAATACACATCTCTGACACTGATTGTCATCAAACATGTCGATACTGGTTGGACACATATAAGTAGCAGTGCCCAACTACTACTTATTCACATGAATTAGTCAGAAGTATATATACACTACTGTGCATTAAAGCCAGGCATATTTTAGATACGCCATAATATATCAACTTTGTTAAGTATGCGGACGATCTAACTATTTCAATGTCTGTTAACTCTCAGCTTGACTGTTCTAAGATGAACAGCTTTCTATCAGGAGGTAGCAAATTGTCTTCGTCTAATTGTCTGTCTTAAACTAAAGTCTTCCAAATGTCAGACTGTTAATTTCAGCTTCCGATGTAAACGAAAGTTAAATGATGAAGCTGTTGGTTCCTATGACCGTTGCAAAATTGATGATAGTGGGGATATAGAAATCAAGTCTGAAGTTAAGTATCTTGGATTAATTCTTTCTTCTGACCTAGCCTGGTCTTCCCACACATCTTAGCGATTTCTAAAAGAATATTCCGTCTGACTTTATACATTAAGAAGTTGAGGCACTCAGGCATAACTCAACTCCTCCTCCGCTTACAGTTTGTCAACTCGTGCATCTTACCTATACTTCTTTACTGTTCACCCTTATTCTTTCCTGGATTGCTTTAAAAAGACTATGTCATACTTCGTAGAACTCTGAAGACTGTCGGTAGGGCGACATTGTCATTGATAGGCACTTGATGTCATGCAACAAATTTGCTAAAGGAATTTTGTCAGACTGTGAGCACCCACTTTTTACCCGCAGCTTCAACCTTGTGTTTCCTCAGGTAAAAGTCTTTTCAAAAGACTTTATACTCGCGCGTCTAAGTATAAAAGTTTCACCATACCATATTCGGCAGCACGTACTTTATGTGATGAAAACAGCGTCAGGGACTAACTAACCAGCATTCTTTGCACTATCAAATAAACCATTTCCTCCACCTTTACAACATCAACCTTTATTGTTATTGTTCTTCGTATATTTATAATCCTACCAATTTTTTGTTTTTAATTGTTTATTTTTTTTCATAAGTGTGAACATCATTTAAGCTGTGTTATAACTGTTAATTTTATATTTCCCTCTACCACACTGTATCAACAGAACATTAGATTCAATAATCTATAACATGCTAAAATTTCCAAACTGAATCGACAATACTGTTTGAAACAAACTCACTGTTATTACTACCATTATTATTATTATATTTAATATTCTCAATTCCTACTACGAATATTTTTGACTTTGTACCGTAAATGTGGACAAGTTCTTCTGGTTAATTTTGTTTTAATTTTCAATTTTATTTATATTTTCAGTAAATCAGATGCAAGGTATTGTGACAAATGCTGAGAATTCCATTCTGTATTATAAGTACCGCTTTTGGAATAAAGTAGATTAGTATTATTATTATTATTATAGGGAGAGAGAGAGACAAAACGAAGAAATATCTTTACCTGTTCTTTCAACTTTTCTTCAATTTTTACTTGAACATCTAAACGATTTTTTAAAGATTTGATTTCTTCTTCTAATTGAAGAATCTTCTGTTGATTTTTGGCCTTTTCTTGATCCAGTACACATTGAGCTTTGTTCAACTTTGCTTCAGATAGTTTTATTTCTAAATCACGTTTTTGCATAAGCTATACAATATCAGGGATAATAATAATAATAATAAAAATTACACATGATACGTATATCATACAATTAAGTAGTATATAAGGAGACAAATGCTGCATTACAATCGGTGAGTACAATTCACTAAATTCATTTTATAAAACACAAAATAATTGAGCAAAGAATATCCTTTTCGATAAATTCCTCTTCTTTCTGGCTCTACAATTATACACGCATGTCTATATACATAGAATATTCTAGATTAGTAGTCAATAACAATATTAGTGTTTTTTTTAGGTAATATCGAACTTGTAAAGTAAGATCAATGCAATTACAGTTCATTAAAGGTGCTTAGATTATAATAATAATAAAGATATAGTAGCAAATAGAATATCAACTAAAATTACGAAAATTTCATAAAAACTCAGAATCATTCAAACCTGGATGGCCAAGGTAATGATAATGTCTGAACTAACTTCTTTTGGATACACAAATTAGGCTTGTTAATATGGATCCCAACAGCCTCAGCAATATTTAGTGGTCGAACTCTTAAGGCAAAATTGAGATTTGTAGGTATGCGGTAAATTACCCTGAAAGCATGGTTAACGTCAATCTTGTGTTCTGTCTCCAGAAGATGAGACAGAATAGCGCCGCGAATAGATTTTGTTTGTCCTTTGCTTAACGAGGCAGGGTGATGTTCGGAAATTCGACGAGAAACACGCCTAATTGTACGGCCTATATAACTGGCTCCACAGGAGCAGTTAAATTGGTAGATACACATGGAAGAGGCGAAATTAGGCAGTTTGTCTTTTATTCCAGAACGCAGAAGAGGAGTGGTTTTAAAGATACAGCGTAATTGAGCACCAGGGAATGCTCTTTTTACTGCATTTTTAAGGCGCTGTGTTAGTATCTCACTGGAGTTGTCTCCTAGGAACTGCATCTGTAAGAGTAAGGCCTTTTTAGGAACTGTTGGTACCCTGGGCTGCTGCTTTGATTTTAGATTCACATTCTTATCAATAATCATCTCTGGATAACTGTTTTCACTCGGCAACCGTTTAATTTTATTAATTTCTTCATCATGACATTCATCCAAGCAGATTGCTCTCTTGCTCTGTGGCGGTCTGTCTGTCTGTCTGGATTCAACATAGAACTTGGCACCGAAGTGCAGCAGTTCGAGTTGCCACGTTCCAAATAGTACACAAAGGTAGACAAGAAAATGAGCGATGAAGAGAATCAATAGAGAGCTCTGTGGCGGACCAAGCACTTTATCAGATTGTGTTTGTATTTCAAGGGCACGAAGCTGAAAAATGAGTATACTGACCCGTTGATGAAGGTTTACTATATACACTTCTTTTTATTGCGCCATCCTCTTTTCTGGTCATATGGACGTCCAGAAATGAAATCCTAGAGTCCTTTTCTTTCTCAATAGAAAAATTTATTGCACGATGAACCTCTTTAAATTTATCCAGGATGTTATTTGTTTCCTCCTTATTTTTCATAATGAAAAATGTATCATCCATGTACTGACGATAGAATTCAAGTTCATTATTAACATCCTTCAGAGGCCTATTTTCTATTTTCTCAAGTAAAATGTCGGATAGAATGGGTCCTGGTGGTGACCCCATGGCCATACCGTCGATTTGTCTATAGAGTTCCTCATTAAATAAAAAGTGGACATTCATTGTATATTTCAAAAGAAGTTCTTTCATAAAAGATATAGGAATGCCAACATCGATGTTTCGTCTTATGAGTTCTTCGCATACAAAGTTCACTGTTTCCATAAGTGGCACATTGGTGAGTAAGGAAGATACGTCAAATGATATCATGAATTTATTGTCAACATTTAAATCTTTTATCCTTTCAACAAATTTAATTTTTAACTGTTCCCGTGTTTCCCAAGAGATGATAGCAGAATTTGACGTCAACTTATATTAGACTACTAACTCTTGCATAAGTAGCTGGACTGAGACTGCAATTTATTATTATTATTATTATTATCGCCCAAATTCGGTACATTATGGGCATTCGGAGGTGCACCAGACAAAATCGCATAGTTTGTATGAGCACTGGGATACCTACCGCCCGGATGCACAGACTGAAGTGCATGGTTCTCTTTTAAGGGGACACACCCGGGCCTTTGACTTGAAGTCTGATCCACACACGTCAGTAGAGCAGCATCAGGAGCTTTCCCATAGACACCAGTGACTACAAACAGGCTCATACACATCATTCAATCCAATCGGATTTTGTTGCCCATGTAGAATTAGGGTTTACCAGCTTCCAAAAGGTAGACATCGCCAACTCTACCGGTACCAGACATCCAGATTAGCCGTATCACTCTGTGAAGAATATCCCTGATGAGTGAAGGCAGTGAATAGGACTTTTACGGTGGAGGTTATGAACGCTTGGGCATATGATAGCATTTTGACAGGAAGATCAAAGTCTACCCATCCTCAGCTGTATCAGGTCTGATAACTAGGAGTATAACTCCACTGTAGAAAGATTTTATTTCATACTGGGCACAGAGTGATACACTGCTATTCACTGGTGGACACATTTCGACAACAGTTTATTGCTCATAATTATATCGAGTTGCTGACTAACATAGCTTTGAAACCTTGTTTATACAATTCCATTATTTATCGTCCTTTGATTTTATTGGTATTTAATATTTCCCATACCTATGGTATCAGTGTGCAGCGCCGTTCCTATTGCACGTGTTAGGCATAGACTCGAAAAACAAAGATTCAGTAATCATCTCTTTTTCTCTCTCCACCTACTTATACTACTTCTTAGGACTATAGCTCTGCTTCACCCTCTTATATGATTATGTATTCTTGCATACATTGTAATTGTTGAGTTTTTCTCTAGGCTACTCATCTTCGTGGGATCAATCATTCTACACTCAGCCAAATTCTTGTGTTCCAATAACCTGACCGAACTCAACCTATTGCTCTGACACCCTTGTTAATTGACTTCATTCATTGTAGGGTACTTTTCACATGTAATTACTTTCTCTTGATGGGGTCAATAGAGTCCATTTAGCCTACAAGAGCCCCTCCTTGAGTGACTTTGTAGACTTGAAAGTCAAATCCTAATTCCCACTTTATTTAGAATCCTATGTAGGATTTCCGATATTTCTTCCTTATTCGGTAAAACTGTATATACCTTCCTTATTTGTTAGTAGTGTTAATAGATTGAGCAGTTTGCAATCAACTACTCATATCAGATAATCAGTAGTATATAGTATTATACCAAAATAATTCCTATTAACCTAGGTTACAGTTTCTATACAACTCAGTAGGCAAGTCCGAATTTATCCAACCTAATAAGCACTCACCTATTGTGTAATATCCAATAATGATAATATTATCCAGATTATAGGAATTTTGGCTGCTTTAGATTAATTATAATTCCATGTTTGACCATAGACTGATATCAGTCAGAGAACCATTGAAAACCAGAAAGTAATGGACAGTTGTTTCGTACTGGTTCTGAACTCATCGACAGTATGCGCTCACCGAGTGTCGAACGCAGGTCCTGGGGTTCGAACACTGCTAGGTGAATACTGCTGATGGATTCGAAACTGTAATGAAACAGCTGTCCAGTACTCTCAGTTAGTTTTTATTGATCCTCTAACTGATATCAACCGGTGATCAAACTTGAAACAAATTCTTGAAAATTAATTACACCTGTTGGATTTTCGTCACAAACCCACAGCAGTTGGGAAGATCATCAACCCCCCCCCTCCACAGGGAGCACGGGGAGCATATCTACTAGGTGCATTTCCTGAAGCTACAGTGGGAAGCTGTGCGTGACCGGTGCTGTCCGCCATGTCAAGATAAAGTGGATGCTCACTGAAGGCATTGATGACGGCAGCGCTGTATCACGAGTTGACATAGTTACCATTCAGGGGTGTTGAATCCCAGTCCAAGTGGCTGAATAGTCGTCAGCGTGCTTGGTATCTCATATCACAACCTGAAGAACTCGCGTTGGATCCTTGGCGGATTCGCGGGTGCAGACTGATGAAGAGTTCCGGAATAGGACGAAACAGCAGTCCAATGCTCCTTGGTTATTTAACTGATCTTTCTGACTGGTGTTGATTCGTGACGAAAATCTAACCATTGTGATAATATTATCGATACCTTACTATAGGAGGAAAAGCTGTTTTTATTCCTGGCACGATCATCGTTTATAGAGAACAGAAAGAAAGGTCAGTACACACCTTAGAAGATCTTCTTAATATACACCAAAAAGCCTACGCATCAAAAAGGAATGAACAATTTCAGCAATCCTTGTTGATATGGGTCACATGAGGTGGACACCTTGAAGTCCTCTGAGATTATCACTCACTAGACAAAATATTCCAGTAACTACAGAATTCCAAAATGAAGAACAAATTGGCTTTCTTGGAAATTTTAATGACTAGATGAGACGATGGGACGGACAGTAATGCTATGCATATTTCACAAAGACACATGGAATGAACAATTATCTTCCTTCAACTCAGCAGTTTTGTTCTTATCCAATATATAAAAACGTTCCCTAGTATGAAATGTTTGTTTTCAAGGACCCGTAAAGCTTTCACGAGTGGCACACACATTAATGTGAATGAGCTATGCAGCGTACACATATTCAGTTTTATTGGCTAATGGATAACCGGAAAATTCATTGTAAGTCACAGTGAAGACAGACTGTCCCTTGAAAAGACAACTTTCGTTGTGAAGAAAGCTGTCATTCAAGGATGTGGAGGAGTCTGGAACAATATGATTGTACAGTTTGGAAATGGAAACATTGTACACAACTTTTGTTCATAATCATTCATTATAAAATACACATAACTTCGGAGTACAATCTAATATACAGTGGGCTGCTCGGTGCTTCGTCTTCTCACTGGTCTATACTGTCTACTCGCATCACTACTAACCATGTTGTGTCTCCTTTACATTTTGCAATAACCTCTCATCCCCATGTGAAGACTACTATTCTACAACCGGTGCACAGCTTCCACTAGTAGACAAGACTCCAGAAATGAACGCTTCTCTCGATTATATTGAAAATTTGTAGCAGTGGACTTTAACTGTATCTCCAAGTAACCATGAGTTTTTTCTCCAACTCTTTAAGTGTGTAGAGTCAGAAGACAAGGGTCAGGCAATAGACCGTTTATTGAGAAAATCAAGAGATATTTATGGATTTTTATGCACATTATTATTAGCATTATTGTTAGCAGAGAAGCAACGTCTTTTGATTGGTTGTTTTCCTGCTGAAGGTTATTCTGTCATCTCCTTATTGCCGTTTCTTAAATAGTCCGATGATATATCTGCGAATCGTATCCGCCCACGCTAAGTCTGCTGTGATTGGTTGTTGAGTTCCTCAAGGTAAGGCTTTGTTATTGTTTTATCTCATGATCCCAATTGGGGACGTAAACACTGACGTAAATTGGTGTCTACAATTTCGGCTAGCAGACAGCTCTCACCACAAGTGTATTTTTTTTAATAATATACTGACTCCAATATTCTTTCATGAACTTGGATTTTTATTCTAAAATTTGTACCGTTACCAAGCTTGCTACTAAGTCCCTACAAGTGTGACCGAATCATACTTCAATCACCTAGCAAACGTACATTCTACGCCTCATTTTTTTTTCATACAACTCGAACATTTTCAATTCCTGTACCTACGAATTAAGGATAGAATTCTGTGGACTCGCCTTCACACTGTAGCTACATGCTCACCTGCAGTTGCGGTGACACACACACACACACATATTATACAGGTAGAACCAATAGAATGTTCCCATGTCGTCTCGTTGACTTAGAATATGCGGACGATATAGTCCTTCTAGGCGAGAACTCTGACAAAATGCAGAGTCTACTGAACACCCTGAGCAACAATCTCCGCATGTTTGGCATGCGATTCGCCCCTATAAAATGTAAGATGATGCTGCAGGATTGGACTTCATCGACCCCTAGATTAGAAATAGGAAGTGAAGTGGTAGAACACGTTGACCGCTTCACTTACTTGGGAAGTACCATCAGCCCCAACGGGTTGATCTCCGACGAAATTTCAGCACGAATACAGAGGGCTAGGTTCGCATTCGCCAGTTTTCGCCGTCTCTGGCGTAGACGCGATATCCGACTATCGACCAAAGGGCGTGTGTACTGCTCAACAGTCCGCTCCGTCCTCCTTTATGGCTGTGAGACCTGGCCATTGAGAGCAGAAGACATGAAAAGATTAGCTGTCTTCGATCATAGGTGTCTGCGTTCTATCTCCCGCGTCAAGTGGTATAATAAGGTGAGCAATATTGAGGTTAGGCGTCGAGTGCTAGGTAAGGCGGGGAAATCAATCGACGAGACTGTGAAATTACTTCGACTGAGATGGTTAGGACATATATTACGTATGCCTAGTCATCGCCTTCCTCGACAATGGGCAATGTTAGCTGATATAGGGTCAGGCTGGAAAAGAGCTAGCGGCGGTCAAACCAAAACATGGCACCAATCAATGAAATCCACAACAGTTAATCTAAGCCACGTAGGAAGATGTAGACTTCCTGGTTGGGGCCCTCGGGATGGTAAAAACCAATGGTTGGAAACAATTGGTGACATGGCTCAAAATCGTTCTCAGTGGCGCAGATGCATCCACTCCTTGTGACTTATGATTTCCAATTAAACTGTTTTGTTCTTCGTTATTACTATTCCTTTGTCTCACACCTATGTTTACTGTCTATATTATGCATTTCTTCTACTTTCTTCTCTTGCTCTGCGTGCTACATAGATTGTGGCGACTTGAACTGCCGCACATATGTGCAAAGTTCTATGTCGAAAACCGACCGACCGACCGACCATGTCGTCAGAAAGAAAATGTTCCTAAATGGCTGTTTAATCATATAAAGAGTCCAAATGTACTTAATATATGGAAAGAAATCCCAAATCATCCCCATTGCATGGCAATTATTATTAGTATGCAGTCAAAAAATCAATATTAATGACTGCTCACTACAAATTTTCCCAAGTTGTGTGCAACTGACGAAGGCGATGGACGAAACAACTGATGGCCTTATTCTAAATCTGCACAAACTACTGGTATCTGCTTCATTCAAATAAACAAAGGGGAATATAGATGCTTGAAACTATATAAACTATTGATTGATAGAGATGAATAGTGTTGTATACCATTCTCATCACACATCAACCAGTGGTACCTGTAAGCCAAGATCAAAGTGTTGTAAAGTTTCACCTTGAACTGTATAAACTGCAAACTGATTTCCAAATTTCGAATCTGTTGTTACCAGTAAGCCAGGTATAACTAGATACAAATCGGATGGTTTGAATTGATTTACCTCTGTCTTTTCTCTCTCCTCCTCTAAGCTGACTAAGGCCTAGTGTATACACCGACGGTGAATTCGACCGCAAACGAGCAAAACCACCGCCCACCGACGCTTAGATCACTTAGAGTCTGATTGGCTAGCAAACAACTAATAGTTGGTGTGTACACAACTACTCATCTCAGTCAATCAGTAGTATATATGTTGTTTCATGCAATTTTACTTGCTTTATCGATTATCATTCATAGTATCAAGTAGATCACATAACTTGCAACCTGAACAAGATCAGTTACCAGAGAGGAACTATGCTATGAAAACTGTGTTAAATTGTAAGACTTGAATTAGGAGGCGAATTTTATACATGCTATACATGGTGTAAAACTAACCTTGTCCACGTTTTCTTCACGTTTCTCGTGTTGTTTAATAAATTCACCCAATTTTTCAGCTAATTCTTGATTTTCTCTACGTAATTCTAAATTTTTCATCTGATATTCACACAATTGATTTTGAATGTTTGTTATACTAGTTTGAAAATGATCAGATACTTCACGACGTTTCTCATCTTCAGCACGTGCTCGTGATAAACTTTCTTCCTAAAAAATTAGTAGGCATATATAAAGACGATGGATGACAGTGAATTGATAAGGTTAAACTTAGAATTATATATAAAGATACATAGATATATACATGATACTTTTGAGGTATTTTACTGCAAACCAATCAAGGCGGTACGGATGATGAAGTTGTCAAAGGGCAGAGAGAATCGGAAAGGCAAGATAGACATTCATCATTTCTGAAATCACTTTGCCAATCTTCTACACTCCCCGCACAGCATAAAGAACAGAATTCAGATTTTCAGATACACCAATATTAACAGGACTTTCATCATGAGCTGACATTAGTTAGAGAACCATTGGAAAACCTGGGAGTACTGGACAGCTGTTTCGTCCTAGTTTGGAACTCTTCACAGTACGCACCCACCGGGATTCGAACCCAGGACCTTCTGGTTACAAGGCGAGCTCATGATGAAAATCCTGTAGCCAATCAAATCCCTACAAACCAACACCAATGTTAAGTCAGTTCAGTTCTTCTATTTGGATCATAAACTTGACATGTGCAGCATAAATAGTAATTTTGCTAACAGGCCATTGAAGACTTTTCTCACAAAACAGTGCCTTCTCTCTACATTGAAAATCAAATGGTTGGACACTCAGAAAGATGCGTAGAAACAAGAGACTGTAGGAACCAACTAACCAACCAACCAAGAACCAATTGCTCAACAAATATCCCGAAGAAAGTGGAGATGAATGGGTAGGACACACATGCACACACACGCCAAGGAGACTGTTGGATACCTGAAATTGCGCGCAAGACCCTTGAGTGGAACCCGAATGGGGAATGACGAGTTGGGCCTCTGAATGTGATAAGGAGGAGATCTCCGGAGGATATGAGAGTCGATGAATGATCGTGGGGCAAACAAAAGAGGACCGCAGAGAAAAAAATGAAATAGAGATATGTTGGTAAAGTTCTATGTTTCACTCGGAACGAAAGAATAGTGCTTGAAGTTCCAGTGGTGATGGTGTTATCGGGTAAGGTTGCTAGCCTCATGTGCAAGCATCCACATTTTTTTGGATCTACTATCGGCTAGCAAACTAAGTAACGTCGCCTGGTTAACTAGCTGATCCCAAGCCCGGGTAAAGAGGGAGGGTTGGGCGTGGGGATAGCAACCCCACACCACCAAACCTATCAAACCGCTAGAGAAACTTCAACGCACAGAAAATATATTTAAAATATAGAACAAAGTGGAAATGTGTTGTTGAAGCCCTATGTTTCACTAGGAACCCAAGGGAACAATAATAATGATAATAAAGTAAACTAAGCGAGGTTTTGGGGAGCAGGCCTGGGGTCAAATCCAGATCTCCTGCGTGACTCACGAGCATACTACCGATGCAACCAACTTTGTATAAATCATCCAAATGGTAAACTATAAATTTCTTTTTACTATTGTTAACCAACTGATAAAATTCCATTGATGATAATAAAATGTATTCAAATAACCACTTGTGATTCTATGCAGTTGGCAATGAGCCACATCTACTGCGTGTGAGACCACCGAGTGATACTCTACCTATCTACCCAAACTCTAGTAGACAGTGGGGTGGCGTTCAAACTCATGACCCGGGGGTTGAAAGTTGAGCACCTGGAACGACTAGATACAACTCCACGATGACGAGGATAATAATAATGAGTGCCTTTAAATCTAAAACCTGCTGATTTTCTAAACTTTGACCTATCATTTAGATAAGTGCATAAAGGCGTTTGAATAAATCCCAGTGTTCTCAATGACGACCAAATAAAAATCCAACCCAAAGAATATCTATCACAGCCTACTAGAAAGACAATGGATAATGCTGTGAGGTTTTCAAGGCGATCTAGATCTCTAGATCTTCCGCTTTCAATGACCATGTATCATATCCATAAAGAAGAATGGAGCAAACTGCTGCACCACACACGTCTTTTGACTGATATACGCAGATATTAAAAATAATAAATGACACTCGTTGCATAAGAAGTGGAGGCTGTCATGGCTCAAATAGTCAAGCGGACACCGCTGGGGTGTTTGAACGATGAATATATGGGTTTAAGCCTCAGTGAAAAAGCCACCAACTCACTAAAGAAGAATGCAGGTACATTTAGTTGACGAGTCTCAAATAGATTAGAATGCCTATCCTGGATTCCACCGCCAGTCATCACCCACCAAAATACTTAAAGCCGATTCCCCTGACATCGTAGAAGCAACCACACTCAAGGAGCCGATGTGTAAACAAAGGATGAACACGTCGGCCCAGTCAATCAACTGGAAAGTTCAAAAATTAAAAATTTAAATATTGTTTTGTATTTTTATTTCAGTTGACTACTTCTCTAGATTTCCTCATCTGAATTACAAAAGCGCATGAACCATTAAACTCCGTGTATTTGCTTTCATAATACACATTTTACGTAAATGTTGGAGAATGAAACATTCAATATATATATATATATATATATATATAGCTTTTAAACAAGATTGTTACTAATGGGATGGTGACTGAAGTTGAAACGAAAACCTAGGCGAGACAGTGAACAACTAGAACCAACAATATCTTAATTACCAGGCCAACATCTTACCACAGGGGCAGTGTGTAGGCGACGTTAAAACTGACTGAAGAACGGAAAAAAAACTTATGAATTCGGATAGTTTACAATATAAATCTAATTTGATCCATGAATCCTATGAATAAATGGGTATGGGTATGGTAAACGCTTATCAATCAGATCGATAAGTGATTGAGACTTGGCTCTAAAACCCAACAACAATAACAACCAGCAGGATACAAAGATGATCTAATGACAAATTAAAGGGAAAAGTGAAGTGTGAGCATCTCTGAGGCCATCGATTGGAAAGATTTGCGCTTAACAGGGGTACCTTTACCTGTGCAATGTTTCGATGGAAGAGTTAAATATATATGGTAAATCAAAAGCACTTGAATGACTCACAATCTCACCTGAATAACCTTATTTTGCTTCTGCAACTCACGGCATAAAGTTTCAAGTTTATCCTTTTGCAGTACTAAACGATTTCGTTCATTCTGAAGTTGATCCTTTTCGATACGCAACTGAAATTGTAGGAGAAAAAAGAATGGAGCATCTTAGAGAGTAAAAAAAAACAATCAGAACAAAAGTTGAGTTGAGATAATCAATATTTCCTGCATTATATACATATTTTCGAAAACCTAACAATCATTTCACCACGAAATGTATATTGCCTTCCGAATAGCGGTACCTTCAAAGCTAAAATTATTAGAACAAATAGCAAAAGCTTGGAGTTTTGCATTTTCTAGTACTCCGAGGCTTCAAAAGACAAAATTGAGGTTAGGTGCACAATCATTTTATAGGATTCTTTTACCTAGTAACAAATGGCAAGGCGAGGAAAGCCATCCTAAATTCCTCTCTATATAACTTTTTCAGCATCATATGTACGTTCAGTATGTCATTGAAAGTCACTCACAATTTAAGTAGTTATTACCAAACAACTAATATTTCCTGCCATTTCTAGGTCACCCTGAGCAGCAGCAATCTTCGAATGTTTGGCATGCGATTCGCTCCTGCTGTCGAATGTAAGGTGATACTACAGGACTGGACTACATCGACTCACTCCTACCTTAAAGATAGGGAGTGAAGTGGTTGGTGGAGCATGTCAACCATTTCACTTATTTGGAGTTACACCAGCCAACGCCCGCGGGTCGATCGCTGACAGAATCTCAGCACAGATAGGGAAGGTTTGTTTGGCATACGCTAACTTACATCATCTCTGGCTTAGCAGATGTGATATCCGACTGTCTGTCGACCGAAAGGCTTGCGTAGTGCTCAGCACTTTGTTCTGCCTTCCTTTATGGCTGGCTGTGAGACACGGACACTGAAAGTGGGAGACATGATCACAATTGTCTGCGTTCTATCTCCCGTGTGGTATAACAGGGTGAGTAATATTGAGGTTATGCGTTCAGTGAATGTTATGTAAGGAGGGGAAATCACTCCACAAGGTTGTGAAGTTACACCGATTGAGAGGGTTGGGACGTGTTACGCATGACTGACTAGTTTCAGCGCAGAACTTTGCACATATGTGTAGTAGTTCAGGTTGCCACACTACAATTAGCACACAAAGCAAGAGAAGAAAGTAAAACGAGATTCAAAACAGATATAATAAACAGATATGTGGCAAAAAGAATAGAGATATGGAAGAACAATATAGTTTTATTGGATATTATAAGTCACAAAGAGTGGATGCATCTAAGTTTGTGTTACTCACGCCTAGCCATTGCCTTCCTCGATAGGCAATCTTACCTTACATAGGATCAGGCTGGAAAACAGCTAGTGGTGGTGAAATCAAAACGTGGGACCAATCAATGAAATCCATAACAGTTAGTTTAAGCCAGCCAGCCAGTCACTTAGGGAGGTGTAGACTTTCTGGCTGGTCGGGGTCCTCGGGAAAGTAAAATCGAATGAAGCCTGGAGACAATTGATGGTATGTCCCAAAATTTCTTCCAGTGGTTGGCGCAGATGCATTCACTCTTTGTGATTTATAATATCCAATAAAATTCCACTGTTCTTAAATATTACTATTCTCTGCCCCCACATTTCTGTTTACTATCTTTGTTTACTCTCTTCTCTTGCTTTGTGTGCTACATGGAGTGTGGCGACTCGAACTGCTGCACAAGTGTGCGAAGTCCTAAGATTGAAGCCAGCCAAGCAGTACTCTTTCTTTCAACAGACATTATTTTTAATTAAAGATGTATTTCAATAACTTTCTTAGCGTGATGTTGCTATTCACAAGCGTAACATCTCGTGATACATATATGGAGATGTTAAACAATATTATTCGCGCCCAAACTGATGAGTACAGTGGGGCTTTATGTGCATAATTTCCCTTCGCATTTTGTAAAAACTGGAGGTTGGAGGCGACCAAGAATTCACAGTGCATCGTGATGGCGAACCACCTAGAATGGTGGCCACATTGCAAACTTGACTGATAAAATTCAGTCTTCACCAATCATAGGACTAGACATATTACACTAGTTACTAACTAGTGCCCAATTAAAGTATCCAAGGCTTACATACTGTGGACCAGTTTTTCCCAGGATAATGAGAGTAAGAATCACCTCCAAAGCAAGGAAAGTCACAATTATCCAGTTACGCTCGGAAAAAGAGAAGGAAGATTTCGATAGATAACTTCAAACATCGAAATTCCTACGGGCGATATGAATGTTAGACTGGAAGCAGAAAATAATGGAAAATGGCTCACTATGAGTCGAGAGACTCGGAGAAATAAATGAGAACGTAGAACTTTTTGCAGTGCACTCAATTATTTGGTGATTGTAGGCGGAAAATACAAGCGAAAGGACTTACATAAAGCGACATGGCTTTCACTTAGTGGACAAACCAAAAACCAGACAGACTTTACCCCAATTTCAAGAAAGTGGAGACGCAGTCTGCTAAACACAAAGTCGAGAAGGGGAGCAGATGCAGACTCAAACTATTATATAGTTCAAGAAACCTCCAAAGTCAGGCCAAAATCCTTGAGAACCGGATCTGGACTAACCATCTCATGCCCCAAGATTCGTTTATTGAAAGTTCAACTAACTTACCCTACTTCTGTGAACACAATAAAAATGTAGACCAAGTAAAAGATAATGTCTTTTGGTAAGAATGCAAAGTATCAATACAAGCCAGTAAAAAAATTGTGTCATAAACGCAATGTGCACACGTGTACGGTAGCTCCTTCGAAATAGAATTAACAAAAGAAATGCAGTTAAGAATATTGATTCTAAATGGAGCATTACAGATCAGACAAACAAGTCAACGCTCCCCATGGACTTGTCTTAGTTATTTGGACAGAAAGCGTTTTAAATGTACTTGTGCGTTCATCCCTACTTACTTGCTGTAAATTTTGTTCGAAGTGTTTGCTCTTAAGCGTGTTTTCTTTCTGTTCTTGATAGAGATCGTAAAATTTTTGACAAATAAACTCAAACTTTACATCACTTGAGGTATTTTGAGGAAGTTCTTTCAAAGCAGAATCTGGAGGCTAATATGAGTTGTTACCAATATCTATATACCTATGAACTTTGCCTTTTTCTTTTTCTGTTTGCTATTGTGTTGTGCTTCCGTATCTTGTGAAGTTACAACTTTGTCGGAATCGATCATCTATGGAAACTTATTAGTAACGCAACTGAAGTATTTCCCGCCTCCAAAATCCAATATCATTCTCTGATATACCTCTGTGGACATTGTAAATTTTTTATTTTACACCTAAAAATTCGACTGAAGGAGGTTAAGTGTACTCACTGAATATACTGTTGAGTAATTCAGTCCTATATTTTAAGACTTACCTCCTGACACAATGAACGCAGTTGATGTTAAAGAATTCATGAAATTTGAAAAATGAAATGTCGATGGGATGGAAAGTTCCTTAAGATTACTGAAATTAGTGATACTAAGTGAGATAGAAAGGCATATTATCCCTGAAGACGCATTTAAGATCAAGAATAGAAATTTGAGAGTAATGTTTGGAAGGCCTTCGGCGAATAGAACTGGAAGGAGGTAAGCCATAACAGAATTAAAGTTCGAATTAGACAGAAGGAATGCAATATCCAATATCGATTTTACCAGCTAGGATAAAACAATTTGATTTCCTTGTGTTCGCCTTCTGATTGTAAGGTTAAGGTTCCTGATCTTCGGTAAACTTCCGCACAACCCGTCCCCCCACTCGACCGTCGTAGGTTTGGTTGGCTCCAAAAGCAGTGATGCTGGGATTAATTACATGTGGTTTGTAGTGCGAAGTGTGTTAAGACCGTTAGTGAAGTTATTCAGGCTAACATACAGAAAAAGAAATAAAGAAAACGTATATACCCCTGAATGGTGCATGGGGTTTTAAGGGGATAGACTATTCGGACGCAGTCCTTGTGTCGTTGCATGATTGTCCAGCCTTAGTTTAAAGTTGTCCACGAGCGGTGCCGTAACTACATCTACCGGTAAGGAGTTCCGGAGATGGCGAACCCGCGGTGAAAAGAAGTGGAAGCCCACCAGAGTGTTTGCTCTTTGGTGAGCTTTCCTTCTGGGATTTCCACGAGGAAGCCTATAACTACTCAATGGAAGAACACCTTTGCTTGGGTGATTCTGGTAATTTATGTTGTAAGCAGTAATCAAATCCCCCCTAAGACAACAGTGGAAAGAACTAATTTCTTTGGTCGTTCATCATAAGCTTTGTTTCGGCGACCCATCACTCCTATTGTCGCCCGTTTTCGGACAATTTCCAGGAGGTTTGCGTCTCTTCTAAGCAGTGGAGGTTTAATGACATTATGCACTCCAAGGTGTGACCTGAAGTATGTTTTTCGTACAACCTTAAAAAGAGCTCAAGAGTGAGTACACCTAACTGTTTCTATGTAAGGTGTATGACCGCATATGCCCTCACTACGTCAGCAGTGTAATTTCCGCTTGTGTCCACTTTTTCCGTTAGATCTAGACCTAAATCAAGCTCTGATGTTGTGCAGGACAAGCTTTCATTGCACAGGGTCTAGCTTTCATTCCTTAGCCTACAGGTGAGTAATTTCACTACCTTGCACTTTTTCAACTTTAAAGTCATACCACTGGCCGCCGGTCAGTCTTCCAGAAGCTTTAGGTCTGCTTGCAGCCTATCTGGGTCTTCTAAACACTTTATAGTTCTCCAAATCTTCCCGTCGTCAGCGTATAGAAGAGTTAGGCAGCTTAGACGGCATAGTAGATCATTGATAAAAATCAAAAATATCAGTGGTCTTAGGATGGAACCCTGCGACACTCCTGATGACGAGCTGTCAAGATGATCGGACTCGATTGACCTTAGTGCGAAATTGCCTTTCTGCTGGGTAGTCCTTTAACCATGACAGAAGTGGCTTGCCTACACCTGCCTGACTTATTTTGCGTAGGAAATAGTAATAGTTAACGGTGTCAAATACCTTCTCAAAGTCTAGTAAGACCATATGGACTGGAACACTCACATCCCGGCATGATGTCCAAAGGTCTCAAGCTGATATTAGGTTTTGTACACAGGATCTGCTCTTCCTGAAACAGTGTTGGGCTTCATGGGGTATATTAGACCTACTGAGGCAATCCCTGATGTGATGGTCAATAATACTTTCCAGTACTTTTGATACCACTGATTGTAGAGCTACTGGTCTATAACTAATGGCATTTTGCCTATCCTCACTCTAGAAGATCGGAGAAAGGATGGCTGTTTTCCACTCACTTGACAGTTTCCCCGAATCCATCGGGTGTTGGAACAAGTCGCATGACGGCCTACTGAGAACTTTGGCGCACTGTTTCAGAACAGATGGCCTGGTGTCGTCACAACCGGGGGACTTCCCAGGTGTGAGTCTCTGTAGCTTCCTTGGTACTACTGCCGAGTTTATCTTGGGAGTAGCCGCTAGGTCTTCCTCACGAAACGCATATTAGGTTATGATCAACAAATAGAATACCTTGACAGATGTATTCGACTGGACTTAGAACCCCTATGGTTAAGGAGAGTGACGTTCAACTTATTTCTCTTATTCTAAGTAATAAGAAAGCCCTGTAACAGTAACTCATGCATAACGTGGGATAATCTTAAATCGTATGAACTACGCAACCATGACTACCTTCGCAAGGTTAACACCCATAAACTCACCACTAGAGCTAACTTTTTCACCATTAAATATTGCAAACTTTGGAACCGACTACCCTCTGAGATTAGATCCTGTCAAAAGCCTGACAGTTTCAAAAGGAGCCTAGAAAAACATATTAACATGTCCACCCTAGCCCGTCTAAAAGATCACAACTGCTGGTAGAGTGGTGAACCAATGACATTTCAATATTTAACTAGGAAAGTACACTAGTCTCAATACTAATGTAATAATACTTAGTAATTATGCATGATCAATTCTTGAAATTAGATTGTCATTACAATGCTTAAAATGATTAAAATATTTGTGCAGCTAATGTTCTCTTGCTTTACCACGCTTGTTTCCCTATAACACTCAATTATTGAGCTTAATGTGATAATGCGAATTATATTATTGATTATACTCTTATCATATATAGTTTGATTTACTTTACGGCTCCCTGTAAGACTAACTACCCTTCTTCAGTATATACACACTGCAGCATTATTAACCAAATGTTAAAATTTTGTTGGTTCTGTTAATATCTTTTTATAATATGTGTAGACAGGTTACTTTGTAACGTCAAATGTTTACTATATATAAGACTGTCATGATAATTTAGTACAATAAGTCCTGCCAACCGACTATACCTTCAGTGCATCCTGCCTACATTGAACCCTAACTACAGTGTTCTGCTGAATCTTGCTCCACTATTCACAAAACCTATTCTTTTTATTCTTTAAGGTTTTAACTTCTTATAAACTAATCTATTCATTAGGGTGCATGCACATACATATAATATGTTCATAAAGATGTGCGTGGACACCTATTGGAAGCACTCACTAACAAGGCTAGGGAAATGGAATATGAGGTACGAACGTGTCTGGCACCAAGCAATACATTTGCTGTAGTCATAACAATCATAGTCTCAGAGCCTAACATCATAAAAGGAGGGAGGGTGGCGCATGCTGATCAGTAGAAATGAGGGTGGTCACTAATGTGAATCAACCCATTCTGCAAGAACAGCAATATGCAATTTGGCTGCTCGAGATTTTTATGAGGGCTTAGATCGTTATCTTGAAAAAGATAATAATGGTCGCTTAGATAGATGATGCTTCTGCCTTTAAACATATACCACTCGCTCAGCCTACTGTTGAGATGCGACCACGTGGGCTGTGCAAAGATTTATGGGACATCTTATAAATTAACATACTTTCCTTTGGCGGATCTTTGGATACCACTTCACAATGTCTCATCTCATTCATTTTTTAATAACGTCTTTACTTGCTCCTTATTATATTCCATTAGACCTAACATTTTCTAGCTCTTTATAAATTCGATTCGACTTATTCTATTCCTATTCTCTATAGGGTACGGTTGTGCACTAAATACACAAAAAGGTATGAAATAAAAACAAATGGATTGAGGATAATTGTATTAAAACCAAAAGTGAACATCATGATAGTAAGACCTATATGGGTAGCATTATACATTGCAAATGAACTTTGTCAGCCCAAGAATTATAGTTTCCCATTGTATGTCCTTCACGAACGCATTTATTAATGATATATTGCACTTACCTATTTCATTACACTTTACTGATTCACCTTAGCACTTTTACTTCTCTAAAACAGCTTTCAATCCGATGTAAATGTAGTACTTACCTCAATATTGGTTGGTTATCGTATGCCTACAACCACGGGTCGGAAACTAAAAGAAGTCGATTTTCCCGCGCAACCTGGAGGACTACTGTAAAATTCAATAATTATACGGCCTAGTTTAGACAATCAGTGTATTTATGTATATATCAAATATTCATCTGTTGAAACATTATTAACTTGTAAACAATCTACTATTTGAGACTATGTCATACTTGACCGTGCCTGTAAAAATGGCATGCATTTTCATGTAAATTTATGTCTATACGAAAGTATACATTATTATTATTAAATAGTAGTGTCACCATTTTGTTCCATACCTAAATTGCTGTTTAGCTGTTTGGAGAAGGCTAAACTGAATGTTTCCACCATCTCCAGACTACTGTGATATTGACCATTTGGGCCTACTAATGCTAATGTCCCCTGGTTGGTTGGTTTTCTTTACGACATGAATGAATACCAGTTTTAGGGGTTTGCCAGGAGCTTTTGGCTAGGTTAGCCTGGAATGACCTCCTGTCACTCCTGACTCTTGCACTGCACGGGTTCCTGAGTTCCAGGTGTGCATCGTGGTCGATCTGACTCTTGGATACGCGCCACGTAAATCAAGCCCTTCACTTTGCCTTCAGATTACGTTGCGTACCTCTCTTCAGCCACGATACCTGTTTCGGCTGTTATGACCAAAGGGACGGTAGTTGAGATTGCTCTGTGAATAATGCCTTTTGCCACTTCCCAGTGTCCATCCACAGATGGCCCATCCCATGCAAAGGACCATTCTAAGTCCGAAAAAAGCCTCAGCATTTCAGCATAGTCAGCCTTGCTATAGCATAGACAGTCACATGACGTCCCACTGCAAGTACTCACGGAGAACCAGGTCGAAACCTATGACTGCATGGTCACCAATTCCTAGAGTAGTCGTGCTCTGGACGAATTGGACGAGTAGTTGGTCACTAGTTAGAAT